AATTGCAGCCTTGTGTAACTTGTTCCACAGGACACATGCTTGTGGTGGATGCAGTGTAAAACTACTAGTTTTTAATCCATCTGGTTAGAAAGAAAGACTTGCTAATGGGCAAGTTCCCTCTTCTGTCTGGTAAAACAGATGGTCTTTATAAGGATTCTTGGTGTATACCCAGCTCCATCAAATCTGGTTTTCTTCTAAAATGCCTGCGGGCTGCACTTTGTGTTGTCACTGAACTTAAGTATGTGCTCAAACATTTTCCTAGAAAATGCATATGAAGAATGTAATTGTAATTGTTGGCAAACTGGAAGGCTCCAGTTAAACCTTTCTTTAATCTTTATTTATCTTTCTTGAAGCACTGGTTTTGTTTGTTTCATGTGAAATAGCCTGCGAGTACCTTTTTCCAGGAAAGGGTAGTTTTAAAGTGGTTTTGGTAGGTTCCAGGTATGGTAGTGTACACTGTTACATCAGAAGGTAGCAGCAGTGAGGAACTGTTTCAATAGGATATGGATCTGAGAAGAGGCTGATGTTGAAAAATCACCTTCTGGTATCTCTCTGAACATGCTACCCTTGCGCATACAAGCATGTGAACCATTAATGGATGGAGTGGTAGAAATGGTGAATTATGTTTTGGTGTGCCAAAGCATGAATCTTCTGCTGACGAGCCCCTTGAAATGACCATTTGTTGATGTGTCATGTGCAGCACACCCTTAACAAATGAGTGGATAGACCGTGTAGGTGTATTTTAGGCTTGTGAGGATTCTAGGAGGGAGATTGTATGTCTCATGTTTTGTATGGGCTTAGACTTAGTGCTGGTTTTGTCCCTGAATATCTTAAAAATCTTTAGTTGCTCCTTGGTGATGATTGTGTAATTCATACATAAGTTCTCTACCAGCCTCTCTTACTTTATTAACAATGTGCTGGTGTGAGTTTTTATGTTCTTTGATATTCATACAACTGGTTCATTGTGTAAATTATAGCATTGATAAATGAAGAATTCATTTATAGTGCATGTGTCAGTTGACTGAATCCTTTTAGCAAAAGAATATAGTTGGCTACCTTTCTAAAATTCATCAGCTTGGCAGTCTGAGCTTGAGTTGTTCTTAATGGATATCTGCACACCTTCCCTTCAAAGGAATACAAGTGTTTTGCTGCATTATGAAGTGTTTTAGTAGAGCACCTTCACTGGTATTACCCTCAGTGTTACTCCTTTTTTCAGCTAGCTGGGTTGTTCATACATTGCGTATCGGTAAACATTAGGCCCAGAGGCTGACTTGACTTACTCAAGGTCTTCTGACAAGACTGACAAAGCTGGTTTAGCCCATGATTTCCGTTCTCTCAGCCTGTTCTTTATCCACCAGATTCTGTTCCTGCTGAATCTGTGGTGTGAGAAGAGACAGCAAGGGTAGCAGAGATGGCATTGTTCAGCTGACTTCCTTCTTGACTTTTTGGTAAGTCGGGAGTAGGTTGGAGGGTTTAGGGAAATTATTAGGCAGAAATTGGTAAAACCTGTTCTACAATGTTGGGTTTGCTGTGTAACACACTACAGCTGACTTAAAAACCAGGCTGTAGGTCTCTTGCTTTGCCCTGTGACCCTTGTTCCTATTAAAGTGGCAGTTTCTGTCCATCTGGTGCGCCCTTTCTCAATGTACTGGATGGTGTGGACCTCTTTTGCAGAGCCTTGTGGATTAATTCAGTGAATTCCTGCCCACGCCTCCTGCCATTCCTTCCAGTTTCATCAGAAGTAGCTGGCTTCAGGCTATTCCCCTTTTCTAAAATCTCAGATGCAGAACTTCAGCAGAAGTCTGACTTGTTTTACACATACCTGAAGATGTTTCACACACACACACACACGCACACGCACACACATCTCCCAGCTGCACTATTTAATATGCTGAGTCTTTCTTGTTTTGCCTCTGTTTTCTTTTTTCAGTCATACTCCATTTCTGTTCTTCCATAGAGTATTGTCCGTGTCAGGATTGTGGCCAGGTGGTGGCCTTTGTCTGCTGTCTACCTCTTATCCCTGTTTTTTCTTTTGGACTTCACTAAAATTCCAGTATATGTTTTCTTGGGTGAATTTTGGAGAAGGAAGAAGAATTATGTCTTGAAAATTACACTTATCCTTTCCATTAACAGTAGTACTGTTTTCTGTTGGTGTCCCCCCCCCATGTTATGCCATCTTTCTTATGTTCTTTGCATTAATTATTTCTTGTAGGCCTTTTTCTTATATTCTTGCCCAGTTCTCCACCCTGACTTTTAAAAAACTGTTACAATAGCTAAAAATATCTGTTATAATGGCTAAATGTACCTGTTTCTCCTGGTATTGGGTAGTTGTGCCACTATCCAATTGCTTTTTTTGGGTCAAATTACTTACTCTCACTGTTGTCTTCCTCCTTGAATGTTTTCCAAGCTGCAGTCCTCTTGAATCTTACACCCATTCCAGTTTCATTTGAGTTCTTCTTTCTGACAGGCTTAGCTGTGCATACCCGGAGCTTTCTCTCCTTACTTGCTCTGGTGCTTCTTGCTGCTGAACAATGATGCTTTTAAAATATCTTAATCCTCCTGCAAATACAAATAATTTCTAGGGTTCCCAGTTCCCATAGTTTTCTCATGGTTTTCCAGTGTGTGACTGTTGCCCCTGTAGTTTTTTTTTTTCTTACTAAACTCTTTTCCTAGATACAGAATCCGTTTTGGGATGAATTTCTGAAAATAATAATGGGATTTCTCAGACTAAGCTGGGCTATTTCTTAATGGGAATGATTCGTAACCTGAAGCAACTAAAAATTGGTTTTCTTTTGCCAAACAGGAGGAATAGCAAGCATCTCCTACCTAAAATCCCTGCTAACTGTGGACTATAGCTCCATGATGAGCTATTAAACTGAGCTGTTTATGGAGGGTTCCTTAGGTAATTGTACTTCAACATGGACATTAAGATTTGGAGATGTTCAAATACAGCGTAAATAATAGGTATTTGAAACTTTCTACAGAAAGGCAGGATCTTTTTCTTTTGTTGAAAATCATCTTTTTCTTCCCTATTTCTACAGTTCTGTACTGTTGTAACAAGCAGTGCAGTTGCAGTTTCAAGTCAGCTCTGAGATGGGTCTCAATGGTAACTTCAGAGTTTACTTACAGAGAACTGTGGTTTTGAAGGGGAATTCATTAAGCTGATGCATTTGTGCTGAGCAAATGGCTCTGCAATAGGGCCATTATATATGCAAAAAAAAGAAGGCTGTGTCTACTCTTCATAAGTACAGGAAAGGGCAGGAATTTTGATTAGCCCAGTGCAGTAGCTTTGCAGAGCTCAGGAAAAAGTAGAAAGGCTCTGAAGTGATGTTGGTGGCACCTCGTACACTCACAATACCTCTGGCTCTGGGCCTCACTCTCCACTCACCCTGTTGCAGAAGTGTGGCTTCTTCTATGTTGAGATTTTTGAAAAAATGCCTTCATTCATTTTTCTAAGTTCTTCATATCTGCTGTCATCACGTTCTCCGTATCCTAGCATCCCACTCCAGTGGTTCTGAGTAATGTTCTCTTTATCTCTGCTGTCTTGGAGGTGGGTATCTGGCATGTAATAAAATGGTAAAATTGCCCAGCTGTGCAGAGGCTTGTAGTATTCTGAGTGCTAATGTACTGCAAAGCTTGTGGCCCCGTTTTCAAGAGCTAGTTGAGTAACTGCTCACCTTTGTGTTTCAGGATAGTGCAAGTGTCTGGCTGTTGATCCCGAGAAACGCAGTTGTATCTGCTCTCTGCTGTCCTCTTTGTCATCTTCTGCTGTGTTCTTCTAGCCAGCATCTGGCCTTGCTTTGGGCTTGTTGCAGAAACGTTGAACAGATCATCCACGTGCCCTTAAAATCCTCTGTTCCCCATCCAGGGAAGGAGAGTGAAGCCGGGATGATGTCCTCGGCCAGGTGCTTTGCCTCAGTTGAGCTCGGGTCTCCCAGTCCTTCACGCTCGTTCAGTGCCGGGCCCCTGAGTGGGTCCATGGCCATGTCCCCGCAAGGCTGGCGCAGTGTGCAGGGTCTGCCATCGTGGGGGTGCTGCCCTGTACAGGGGTTGGTTTCACTTGCCCTCGGGCAGAGAGTGCTGTTAGTGCAGGGGCAGCTCAGCCAAAGGTGCCAGAGGCTTCCCTGAAGAATGGAGTGGAAGATGCTCATGTCTCAAGTGCTCTCAGTTCTAGTGTCCTCGTAGGTGAGCTCCAGGTAAACACGAGCAAGCTGTTTGAACTACGCACAGAACTGATGACTGAGTAGGAGGAGAAAATAAAAACTGTGTGGGCCAGTGTGACCTTGTAGGCTGGAACCCTGAAACCTACCTGGGCTTTCATCATATATTGGTGGCTGTAAACCCCAAAAGAAAGAATTCCTTCAATAAGAACTTCTTGATTAACTCTGTAAGATTTAGTTTTAATTTCAATTATATTTGTATCTCTCCAGTTATTTGAAAGAGTCTAAAATAGCCCAGCTTCCAGAGGCACCTGCATTTAAATGTTGGGAGGAGGAGGGGGGAGGAGGATGAGGATGGAACCATGCTCACTTTGTTTGTGTAAAACTTTCCTCCCATGTCCAAGAACTGCATCTCATACCTAATTTCTTTTGCAGTTTTGTTCAGTGGAGGGACTGCTGTATGTCAGCCATGCTAAAGGGCAAGTGATGGAGGCAAGTACTAGTTTATATATTCACAGTTCTCTAATACTGTTTTTTTTACCAGTTTCTCCTTTGAACTGTTTTGTTTCCGTGTGCTGATGTGAAATGACTGCACAATGAAGGGCAATATTCTTGGGGTGTAATATTACAACATCTGCTCAGTGTGACTGTATGAAATTGTGCATTTTGTCCCTGCTGTATCGTACTCTTGTATGACTAAGAAACCCATGTTTTTGAACTTCATGCTATAAAGTACTTTGTTTCCTCTCTCAAACAGAATATAATGGTGTTTTTGTTTTGGGGGGGGGAGGGTTCAAAACTTGAATCCTAATGCTGATTAATTCTGCTGATTGACAATTGTTCACATTATTTCCCCCAAAAGTAGATACTAGGACAAATAAGTAGTTTTAAGACTCTTCATACCAGGTGTGCAATTTGAAAAGCTCATTTCAGGCTCACAACAGACTCATCACATGGGAACACAAGTAGTCAGAAGACCACCAGGCCTTGGAGAGAAGGCTCAGTGTAGTTTCAGGGGTAGTAGTGACATGTTTGTGAGCTCACTGTTGTCTAACTTGTTTCGGGTCTATAAATTGACACAGAGCTAATTTAAGAAGGATAATGCTTTCCAGAAGATAATGCATGGAAGTGTAGGTAGACTGAAGTGGTGTTCTTTCAGATCAGCAGTATTACCAGTGGTAATCTGGATGGGAAGCATGCAGGAGATCATAGATATACTGGTTAGAAGGTGTATTGGGCATCTTTGATATGAACTACGGTTCTTCACGAGTCCTGAATGAAAAATGAATACTGAGGGAATTGGCTAAAATGAAAAAGGCGGTTATGGGTCAACTGTCAGATTTGTGTTTTGCATGCCTAATAACTTGGGGACAGTGAGGTTTGTTCACTGAACCATTGTTGGATGAAAAGGGCAATCTCTAGTTTTTGTCTCTTTTCCCCACCAAATTAAATTGGCTGGAAACCTGCAATTCAGCTTTCTGGAAAACCTATTCCACACGAAAAAAGAAAAGACAGATTGAGCTCAAAAGTCAAAGCATGACACTGCTCATGAAGGCACTTGAAGCCGTTTAAGAAACTGTTAAAAAATGCACAGCCAACCTTTTATTTTTACATATTTGATTCTGCTGCACAATTTCTGCATGAATTGGTAAATACATTGTATTTTCTGGTATGTAGTTTATTACTTTGCATTCAATGTCAAACTGGCCAATGTATTTACACTCAGTGGTTGTAGCATGTTCAAAGTACTGAGAGAAAATCCCGTATGACTCCAGCGTTTTGCTTTCTGTAAGTACAGAATTGCATCTTGCCTCCAGCTGATAGCAGTGACATTTGAAAAAGAGCGTGAGGCAGCTCTTCTGATATTTTTGGATGCCAATTTGTAAAGCATTTTGGAATATCTGTTTAACCCATTCTGTCAGGTTTCAGATGCAAAAATTGAGTGCTCTAATGGTAACCTCAATGCATTGTGCTTCTGCAGCTGTTTTGAGATAAGAAAGAATGCTTTCAAATCCCAAACATATGTTGCATTTCAGATGAAATTTTGTTGCTGTTTTTATTTATTTTTTTATTTAAACCCCAGGCTGCTTTCTGCCAAAATTGAGGTAGAACTCTGGTCTGGTTTCTGTATTTAGAGAAGCCTAATCAAAGCTTTCTCCTGCAAGAAAACAATGATCAGCTTCTGAGCATGTGATCTCATGGTGCTGATGTGAAACTCTTTCAGATAATGTGTCCTTCCTTCCTTCCTTTCTTCCTTCCTCATTCCTTTGCTGTACTTCTCCCATAGTGAGTTGCTATCTGAGTACTCAGCTGCAGCGTCCTATAACCAGCTCTTGCCTGAGCTCAGATGACAGGAAGGTTGAGCTCTCTTGGAGAAAAGCTGCGTGTTTCCTCTCTGCTAGAGACTGAGCTATACATACACGGTGCTGCTCCTGTTCAGATTGGTTGCTTATTCTACTTTTAAAAAGACATTTTTGTTTTCTCTGAGAACTATGGAGAAGACTGTGCCAGTTGAAACCATTTCACTTGCCTGTTCCTGCTTGAAGACAGATTTTCACATCTAGTCTCCACTGCCATCAGCGGATGTTGGCAGTAATAAGCCATTTCTTACTATTTGGGAATGCATAACTGATTTGGAAGTGTTCTGTTTTCTTGCATATGCTAAATACTGCGAACTTAAGCATTCTACAGGAAAATCAGGTAGGCTGAGCAGACGTTGCATTTGAAGCACGAAATACCAGATCTTTGTCAAGGAACAAAATAAGTTCTACCAAAGAGACTAGCATGCCCTTCAGAAGTTTAACTTCATACTCTGTTAAATATTTTTGTGGGCTTGTTCTTAACAAAACCCCACTGGTTTCTCCTTGCTTCTCCCCCTTTTGAACAGCTTTTTTTACCTTCTTGCTTTCCTGTACCCTTTGTGCTGGGCTTCTTCCCCCAGGTGATGAATGACTTGTCTCATACAAGCTTTGGCTTCTGCATACAGCCTAGATGCAACTAATACCACGTGGAGGGATGCTTGGAAAACTGATACATATTGTTTTGTTAATGGCATGTTTTGCGCTTTGGATTTTTTAACCCACTACTTTCTGCATGGATGTATAATAATGACTCTTTTGTTTAACACTAGATAAGCATGAGATCACCGTGGCACAGCTGCATGTGTAGTCACTCTTGAAGCAATTGCACACCTAATTGGCTGACAATCTTGGCATTTTAAAAACACACGCCTTTCAAAGACAGGGGACATAATTATATATGAATAGTGAAATAAACCTGTTGGGTGTCACCAATGGAGCCCTCTAGCACTGAACAGTTGTGTGATGACCCTGATCCTGGAGGCAAATCCCAAGATCAAGAGACCAAAAAGCAACATGAATCAGAGCAAAAATTATCAAAAATAACCCATAATGCTTTGGAGAACATTAATGTGATTGGTCAAGGTTTGAAGCACCTTTTCCAGCATCAGCGCAGGAGGTCCTCGGTTTCTCCACATGATATTCAGCAAGCTCAGGCTGATCTGGAGCCTGACATGGATCTGGAAAGCCAAAGCGTCTGTGCTGAAATTGATGGTGTCTCCACCCACCCCACAGCTCTGAACCGCGTGCTCCAGCAGATCAGAGTGCCACCTAAAATGAAGAGAGGGACGAGCCTGCACAGCAGGTGGGGCAAGGCAGATGCCCCGAAAGGAAGCCCACAGATCAACAGGAGGTCTGCCCAAGATATTCAATCAGGTCGGCCCAGATCGTCATCTACTACAGATGCTCCCACGAACTTGTCTGTGATGGAGATTGCTTCTTCTATCTATGTAGGTGGAGAGGAGGCTGCAGCAGCAGTAAGTTACTCAGATTTACCTTTGGTTTTTATCATCTCCTTGTGTGTTTTCTTAAGGCTTTTAAATCCTGTTTTTAAAAACAAGTTTCTTTCAGCAAACACCAGTACTACTGTGTTTGAAAGTTTCTTTAGTGGTGAAGCAAAGAGCTTAAAAGATACAAATGTTAGTCATTTTCTCACATGGCAGGTGGCTTATTTTATATGTATTTGATCAGTGAAATGAGAGCTGCTTTTGAAGCACATTAGGTTGGTTGGATGGCACACTACAGTCAAACAAGAAGTGATGGGAAGAGCAGCAGCCAGAGTAGTTCTCAGCAGCTGTTATCTCAGCTCCTGCAACAAAACCTTGCATTTATGTAGATGGCTTTTTTCTTCCCCTCTTGTTTTACTGTGTATTTTATAAACTTGAGGAAATCCTGTTTGAGTGAATGGTGCTGTTGATCTTTTTGGCTGTGGAGAGGCTCTGGTAACACTGGCTGCAGCCTGTGACTGAACTGCAATGCCAGGTTGACTGCACCTGATCTAGATCAGCCTGGCTACTTGCTGATACGGGATCAGCAAGTCTGTCCTGGTTTGTCAGGCCTGCGTGGAAAAAGCCTTCGCTGAGATGACACTGTCTGTTCTGGAACATGTTCTTGTAAAGCTATGTATATCTGCTTGTTGATGATATCAAGAAGTAGTCCCTGTCTTACCATCTTGCCAATTTAGTTGAAGCACACCTTTTTAAGAAAAAACAAACCCACCCAACAACCCAACCTAGGTTTCTCATTCAACCTGAGATATAATATATATTTTCCTAAAATTCTTTGCAGCCTTGTTCAATAGTTGTTTGTTACTGGAGGACGAACCCATTGATAAAGATAGGGAGCATTGTGAAATTGGTTTCTGGTTTGTGTGCTCTTAATTATAGTCTCTGACCATGACTCTTAGACCAAGAGAAACAATCCTGCTAGTGTTTGATGCTGTTAAAATAGCATGGTCCTGAAGTTTGTGTAGATTTTTCATTACGAAAATTTGCTCTCATATAATACAGTTTCTTTGATGTTGTCTTGATAATGATGGATTGGGGATGAATAAGATCCCCTTAGTCATCTGGTGGTTGCCTCACCTTGCCTCTGCACCAAGGTTATTCTCTTGTACGTTGTTTTCCTCCCCTTGAAACCTACTTTGAGATACTCTTAAGGGAAAACCTTTTCAGAGTTCTTGGTGGTATAATACGCTCTCAATGTATTTTCCTGATAGTCATCGGGGAAATTAGCATATCTTGCATTCATACATGATAATTACAAAGTGTTAGCATATATTGCACTAGCATTCTAAGGCAGTGAGTGAAGTTTTCTCTTGGGAGAAGCACTGGAGGAGTCTGCCTGCAGCTGCAACTGAGGCTTTTGTTTCTTGCCAACAGTTAAAAGATCAGAAATAGTAATGAAGTTGTCAGGAAAAGCATGGGCTCCCCTCAGATGGGTTAACTTAGCAATTGAGACATGATGATTGAGCCATTAAGAGGCCTCTTAATAGCTCCAGGCTTATTTGCTTGCTGTGAGTGAACTCATGATCTGTGTTCTGGGAGAATTTTGGGGAATGTTGATAGTTTTCTGAGTTTGTACCCAAATCCAGCAACCAAAGTTTATGAAGCAAGCTTCATATCCACCTTCAGCTAGATCAGGGGTCTCCAGAGCGAGGTAGCCAAAGACAATCCACTGGAGTGTGGGAAGAAAGTATTTTTTGTACCATTAATAAGTAAAATATTTTTTGAAATAATGTTTTTCTTTTCCTTTTTAATTTCCATTTTTGTTTTATAATGTACATAATGTATCCAGTAGGACATTATACAGCTTATAAATAAATACAAATGTATTGGCAGTCCATGCTCAAAATTTGTTTCTGGGTAGGGGTGTGCCACTGGCCTGGATGAATTGGATCATTTGGCAGGAGGGACTGGAAAATGAGAACCATTAGGCTGCTAGAACTGCATTCTGCTACAACATCTGCTATGTGTGGTAACAAATTTAGGAGTCAGTTTTGGGTTGATAAAGGGCTTTGATTATTGAGAAGCAGCAGCTGTACTTCCTATTGAGAAGTGTTTTCTCTGGGTCTGCTACTTGACCAAGTTGTCATCTCTGAGGTGGATGTGACAGTGGTTCTGGTTGCTTTTTGCTGTGTCCTCAGGTGCTGTGCTCTGTGACTGGAGGAAAAGGGTCTGTTCAGGCTTGCTCGCCTCCTTTTAAGGGAAGGGACTGGAGTCTGAAAGCAGTAAATGAAATGCATGTAAACCAAGGCCTTCTTTGAGGGCTAAACCATCCAAGAACCTCTGTGACCAGTTGTCCCTGTAGAGTTCAGTGAATTTCCAGCTGCTTTTTAGTATTTGCATATTGCACCATGCTTTCAGCGGAAAATACAGTTGTATACTATGGGTCTAAAGTGAAAATACAGTTGTATACTCTGGATTGCATCTGGAGCATGCCCCCTGCGCTATAACATAGGCTTTTGGCAGGGTAAGGATCTAGAGCAGCTAAAGTTCCTGAAGTACCTGGAGAGGAATGGATCTGTCAGATCTTTGGAACATGAGAATGGAAAATCTGATATGTTGGTGGTATAAAATGTAGCGTGCTTGCTCACAAACTGCTGTTACAGGAAGTGGCAGCAGCAGCATCCTCATAGCATGTGAGCAAGAGGGAGGCAAGCAGCAGTTCCAGCAGTGGTCACGTTCTCCTTTTGGTACTTGTGTCTCTGTGGTGTGCATGCAGTGTGGGAGTACAGGGCTGAGGGGAGCTAGGGAATAACGCACCTCATCTCTTGCATGACCCAGAGCACGTGTGCTGCTTTGGGATGTCATACCTCACCTTCCTTAACCTGAGCCCTCCCGTTCCTTTGCTCTAGCTGGGAATTGTTTCCTGATGCATGTTCTGAAAGCTATGGGTACACTTGCAGGTAGAACCTAAATAAACACTTTGGGAATGCCACAGCATTTGTTGGTAGGGCTTGGAGTTCTGTTGTACGAACGTTTCTGTTCTCATTTGGTGTATTTCTTAAAATCTCACTTAGTTTTCTTTTAGATCACTCCCTAAAAAGAAAAACCTGAGTGTGTGTTTCCTGGATTGTGCATAGTCTTAAGTGGGCTCAGAAACCTAGAGTCCCTCAGACACATCAGTCTTTTCCATGTAAGCTAAAGGCAAAAACCTCGCATTGTGTAAGCTATGTTTTACTTCAGAGGTTTGATATGTTTAAGTGTGCACTTAAGTGGAGGCAGTACTGGTTCTGGCTGTACATTTATTTACACATGTAAAATTACAGGATAAAGATGGCCTGTTGTTAAAAAGCATTAAATTGAAGATGCAATTAGATGAGCAAACCTTCACTTGATTTCTTTTAATTTGTTTCATATTCACTTTCTCAAGACTTTGTACATTTGTCTCCTTCAGCTCCTTGTGATCTTATCTCTTAAATAAGTTTGCCTTCATCAATTTCACGTCATTGATTTTGGTGTTTGCTGATGACAGTGAAGATGCTCAGACTCACCTGGCCTCAGCAGGGAGTATTTCCTTGGAAATTCTTTAAGAATTTCATAAATCCCAACTATAATTAGAAAAATATCAGTGAGCTGCAGCGCTGATCCATCTGTTGTGAACATATGGGCTATGCAAGCTACAAAGACAAAACCCCACAACATACGTAACGGAAAAGTTGTGATTTAATAATGACAAACCCAGCATAATTGTAGTCAAGCGATCTAATTCTCATTTTTCTGATTCATGTCTTCTGTCACCAATTGATCTGCTGGTCCCAGTGCTGCTGTGATGCAGCCTGTTTCTGCTCACAGTAGCTGTCTGCCTGTCTTCTGGAGCTTCTCTGCTCCCACCACACAGTGTCAAGTCTGTGCCTGGTGCCTCATCATTGCCCTCTCATCCATCTCTACCCCTGGGGTTGGTACTGCTCTTGTAGCAGAAATCCTTGTTTTGCTTTCCCTTCTTTCTTTGTTTTCCCCCCAGTGTTCAAATTTCTGTCATTTGGAAAAAGTAATGGACATTTTGTTCTCTTTTAATGACTTCTTACTCTACGGTGTGTTGAAAACCATGGTGGTGTGTTCTGTTGGTAAGACAGCATCCTGTAGTCACTACATAATGCTGACAGTGTCTGCGGTTAATCAGTCTAAGGTTTGCCTGTGACTGTAGAAGACTTTGCTACATGCAGATGTAAGGAGTCACCAGACTTGGATTACTGAGATTAGAGGCTTGTAAAAGCATTTGCAGGCTGCTGGGGAGTTGTCAGTGCTTCTTACTGGAACAGCAGGAGCTTTACCTGTTGCAAATGTATTTGTGAAGCACAGATGAACAGGATCCCATGTGCTTCTGTCTGGAGTTTACTACTGAAGCTTAAGACCAGTTAAACACAACCAGACTATTTCCATACCTTCCATTTTTGCGGAGTCAAGCCCCATCCTTCTGTTTGAGCTGAGGCTGCATGGTGATTTAAGTTTATGCTCAACTTTGCCTATGTAAATGCTGTTCTGAGCTTAATTAGTGTTTGGGATTCATTTGCTGCTCAGTTGGTCCTGCTGGAAACTGTTACACTTGCTTTTTAACACTAGGTGCTGTGTCTGAGATACAGTTTGGAGAAGGAAAAAACTTCTTATCTGTATCAGCATGGCCATGTCAATGATGTAACTGGCAAAAATCAAAAAGAAATGTTGTAATTCATTTCCCTTGTACACTGTGAATAGCCAGGACTCCTCAGAGCAGGCAAGACCTGGAGCAGATCCTGGAACCCGCTTTCTCCACTTGCTCATTGCTGGGAAGTTTAGGAGGTTAATCTCCCCGGAATATTGTATTGTTAACCCAAAGTGGTTTGTTTGGATTATATTATTTCTTTTCCACTTCCCCATGTTTTATGTGTGTGTGCTGCAAACTTTTGGAGACTTTTGTGTTGTCTAAAGCCCCTGGCCCAGGGTCAGGGACTCAGCGAGGTAGCGCCATCCTCAGGTAATGGGGTTAGACCGAAGTG